TTTGTGTTTGTGGTTTTGTCTTTAGAGGTACACTTTCACACACTTTGTGTCATAAATCCGCTGCTTTGTCACACCTGGTTTGTCCGGTCTTCCCACAGGTGATCCGACCACCGCCGAGGGTGTGTCGCTGGACCGCGGAAAGGTCAGCTGGCACTCAAAACCATACGAGAAATGAGACCAATACAAGAATGCTCTCTTATTCTTAAGTGGGATGAAAATAACTGAAGGGTTCTGGTTGCCTCCTAGCCGGTGGACTGGAGCTGGAACCGCCATGCTGACAACAAATTCCAGTTCATGGATAATTACCTGGTCGCCCATGTCCGCTCCAAGAAGGACAAAGACGCCACGGAGTTCTTCAAACTGCTCGCCCTCTGTCACACGGTCATGGTGGACGACAAAGACGGTAACGCACACAAACTGGACTTTACAATTCACTGAAGCTGTACGTTTAGTCATCAACTCTCAAAATGAGCTGACAAGTAAAGAATGATTAGGCTTTACTTGTAAATGTAGCTTCTTTAGTTGTCTGTAAACTGATGTGCAGTAGAGGAAAGGGTGGAAAATCAGCTCTGAGGACGCTGTGCTCCATGTGTCCGGCAGGTCAGCTGCTGTATCAGGCCGCCTCTCCGGACGAGGGCGCTCTGGTGACCGCCGCCCGGAACTTTGGCTTCGTGTTCCTGTCCCGCACGCAGGACTCCATCACCATCATGGAGATGGGCCAGGAGATGACCTACGAGATGCTGGCGCTGCTGGACTTCAACTCTGACCGCAAACGCATGTCCATCATCTGTACGGAAAGACCCTCGCACACACAGCTGGACACTTTACGCTAACCATTAACATGCATTTTCTTTTAAATCTAGTGTGTTTTTCAGGTCTACCAGCTCCTTACATCCTGTAGCACCTCATAAATAACAATATATTTATTTTTGAAAAATGAAGTAGAAAAAAGTACATCCTTTTGGTTCTATCTTTCCAAAAAGCCAGTTGGTCTCATAGGTTTGGTGGACGATTTTCTATGTACACATACATTTCCATATTCATTTGTTAAAACCCAAATAAACCCCGTTTGTCAAACTCGAGCACATGCACACATTCTCCTGTTACAGATCCACCTGTTGGATCCACCACTTTATTTCAAGTGACAAAGACTTTTTACCAAACTATAAGAAACTATAAATGATATGGAGCACACATTTATTTACATTTTTTTGTTATCTACACCGTCCCCATCTACATATGTAGGCAAACGCAACCCTACATACGTGACTGTGACTCCTTTGTGAAGAAAAGTACCAGAACACCTACAGGCACACGAATGCTTTCATGGAAAGTGTCAGTTGGAATAAGCTGAGCATTACAACATTTTACATGCATATAAAAACATTTTAGGTAAAAAGGTCTGTCTTGTAATTCTTGCATAGCTTAAAGCTTAAATAAACTTCAACAACAATCAAGGTTGTAAAAATAGTTCAACATTTGAAACTCTGGACATTGACGAAAGTTGAAGGACTTAATAGTCTTTTGTCATGAGCCGTCCTTTTTTATCTTGCAGTGAAGTTCCCTGATGGCCGCATTCGTCTGTACTGTAAAGGAGCAGACACCGTCGTCTATGAGCGCCTCTCCCCCAACTCCAAATACAGAGACAGCACGCAGAACGCTTTGGATGTAAGTTCACGCGCAGCTCCCACTTACTCTGCAGACGGTTCAGGCTCGAGAAGAGTGGCGATCAGGAATGATTTCATCGGTTTACTTGTATTTGTGTCTTTTTTTTTTTTCTTCTTTTTTTTAAGATTTTTGCCAACGAGACTTTGAGGACGCTGTGTCTGTGCTACAAAGACATCAGTGCCAGTGAGTACGAGGCCTGGTCCAGGATGCACAAAGAGGCCCAGGTAGCCATGGTTGATAGAGACGGTGCCCTGGACCGCGCCTATGAGAAGATAGAGAGCAACCTGATGGTGAGCGGGGGGTCATTTTTACATCATCCGTTCCATTCACCGTCAAAGATCTGTGCACGGGAAGGTTTGGTCCGTAAACGAAACATATACGTAATTGCTTTTGGGGATTTGTTTATTAGCTGATCGGAGCAACTGCTATCGAGGACAAACTGCAGGATGGAGTTCCAGAGACCATCGCTAAACTGGCTAAAGCTGACATCAAGATCTGGGTCCTAACTGGGGATAAGAAAGGTAAAATCACCTCAGAATATCTAAATGTACAGAAAAAAAAAGCAGATCGGCAATTATCAGTCATGAATACATGAGGAACAATTCAAGCTACAGGAGAGAATTTGTATCATGTGTGTTTTAATAATGAGAATATTATTAATAATAATACATTTAATAATTTCCCTCTGGGATTTTTAAAGTATTTCTGATTCTGATTTTCATTCATTTTCAGAGACGGCAGAAAACATCGGCTACTCCTGCTCTCTTCTGACTGATGACATGACTATCCACTATGGAGAAGATGTCAAGTAAGTTAATAAAGCTGTACTCTTCTTTCACAGCTTCGTCCCCTGAATTATCAAACTTTATTAATCCCCAAAGAAAAGTGATAAAAATCGTGTGTAAATCAATAAAAAATTAGTTTCTTCCTCTTAAAAGGGAAGAGGCCCTTTTGTTAAGCACCCAGGGTTGTTGGTAGGACTTCCCGCTTCTGCCTGCTGGGTTTGACTTGAAACAACACGCGTTACAGTTCATTTAAAGCCCTGTGCCTCATTTCCATATGCCAGTGTCATGTGAGTCACCTGAAAATCTTTCACAATAGAAGTTACATTTTTGTGGTGGATTGTGGAGAGACGGTGCTGTGGGCTAAACAAACAGTCAGACAGATTACGAGCTCTGAGCATTGACTATAACATCTTATTTCCTGCTTTGCATCTAGTTAAAAACACGCCTAATACCTTATTAAAGTAAAAAAAAAAAAAAGAATCCTGAGGTTTTTCCTTTTCTTTTTGTCTTTTTTTCCTTTGATGAAATTTTAGAATTTTTTTCAGCATTTTCCAGCCTCTCTGCATTACAGGAGCAAACATTTCAGGATGTAATCGATCCTTATTATGTAAAAAATCTTCTGTGTGTGTGCAGTGACAAGCTAAGGATTCGTCAGGCCAACAGGAGAAA